AAAATATTTTTGTAATGTGACTCTATCTAATCAAGGCTCTAAATGGCCTGCATCACTGCATTCGAAGTATTCTGTAACGTCTATTTCTGGGTGTCTGCAAGCCTGCCAGCGTGCTATCAGGAAGTTACAAATTGCTATTTAAGATATTTGCCACTTAAGTGGCCCAACCGGAGAAAGAAAACAATGCAAGAAGCTGGGTCTGTGTTCTCTTCGCTCTCAGAAATGATGACCTTTTAAACACGTTTATTTATGGAGGGTCTCCCTTACCCGAAGGGAAGCTTCTGAGGACAGACAGGAGCACCTGCATGGTGACGTGCTCAAGAAACCTAGTAGGTGAACAGTTTCTATTCCAGCATTTTGCCAGAGGCTACAGAACTTTGAGGCTCTGAGGCATACACAATTGGGGAGAGGCTTCTTAAAGAAAAGGTACTCGACAGAATAATTTAAAAAAACAAAAATTAGGTATTGAGCCTCAGAAAGAAAGAAAGAAAAAGCACACCAGAGTAAGGCCCTGCAGTAGGTCTTTAAACCCACATCCAGATGTCCTGACATGGTTTTTCAGAAAGAGACAAAACCAGACCCAACATGGATAGGTCAAGATAAGTTAAAATCAATTTTGGTAGTTTTTAACCTTGTGGGATTTTTCAAAGCTATGTGCAATTTATTAAAGTTGCAAATTTAGAAACTCAGTTGTCTTAAGTGCAATTATCTAATCTTATTTGTTTTTCTGTAAAGCCTACAGTTTTGAATGCTCACCCTTAAGGGGCCTTTTGCCCTCAGGTATTCAAAGCCTCTGGTGGATCCTAATGGGCTCATGGGGACCTTCACTCTCTGCAAGGACGGGGGCAAAGGAAGCTGCACTGGCACCTCCATTAGACTGGGGCGCTAGGGGCCTGACTGGGGACCCCCAGTTAATGCCGTTCTCATGAGGTAGTATGTCCCCTCAAAAGAAAGAAATCCCATTCCTGGGTTCAGAACCCCCAGGGCCTGCAGGACAGCACCCCAGATGTGTCTGGGAGTAAAGAAGCTGAAGGTACTGCCTGGGGTCACTCAGGAAACCCCTGACAAAGAGGGGACAGTGCTGGCAGTTAGATCCCAAACCCTGGCTGCTGTTCGGATGGCAGGCAGGAAAGTCCACGGGAACCTTTCAGAGCTGCCCTGCCCCAGGCCCTGGAGGGAGGATTAGGATTAAGAGAAGCAGTTCCGGGAGGCTGGGAGGAGTCCTTTCCTGGAGGCCTGTTTGCATAAGACGCTGTGGTGGGGTCACCTCCTTCCTGTGGGCTGTGCAGGGGCCGTCACAGGGTGCAGCTGACACTAACCTTGTGGCTGACACCAAGACTCCAAGATCAGGGGGAGCAGTGAGGGGAATTCTAAACACACCTCCCTCGCCCCTCTATGGCCAAGCAGGGAGACTGAGGTCCTTAGATACTACTTGCAAGTCAAGGTAATGCCCACAGCTTCCTTCAATCAGGATCTCCATTTGTGTGGGGGGCCCCGGGGTGGGTACCCAGCCCCATCTGCAGCAAGAGAAAAGCAGAGGCTCCTATCCCTACTTCCTCTGGGGTTTTGTAAGACCGGAGGAACATGCGTCTGCTGTGCAGCTCATAAAACAGGCTCCAATATGAGCCTGTAACTACCAGGTTACATCTGTGACAGCATCTGTGTGCCAGGTCCCCAGCTAAATTCTACCTGGAATATGTAAACCTGATGAGGGAAGAGCCCATAACCACAGTGGGGTCTCACCCATGCTGTGCTTTACCGTTGACAAAGAGCTTTTGTAATCATCACACTCATTCCTGTTTCCTCTCTCTTTCCTTCATTCATTCAACTGCTCTCAGAGTGTCAACTGTTTTACAAGCCCTGGACTCAACACCTGGGCCAGGGAAAAAGCTGAGTAAGTTCCTGCCCCTGAAGAAGCCAAAGTCTGCTGGGTGAAGTCCACGGAAGGCAGAGCAGTGATTACACTGTGTGCTGTCAATGCTGGAAGTGGCTGTATGGCCTCTGGGTTGTGAGAAGTGTCTTGGAAGAGGGTGTGCGCAATGAGACCACAGCACAGCAAAGCAGAGGCCAGTGTCTGCACACCTTTGTGGGCCCCACATAAAGAACCTAAAGAGACCCTGATAGTGGCTCAGCGCCTGTGGCTCAAGTGGCTAAGGCACCAGCCACATATACCTAAGGAGGCAGGTTCAAATCCAGCCCAGGCCCGCCAAACAACAATGACGGCTGCAACCAAAAAATAGCTGGGCATTGTGGCAGGCGCCTGTGGTCCCAGCTACTTGGGAGGCTGAGGCAGGAGACTCGCTTGAGCCCAGGAGTTGGAGGTTGCTGTGAGCTGTGATGCCATAGCTCTCTACCCAGGGGGACAGCTTGAGGCTCTGTCTCAAAAAAAAAAAAAGAAAGAGACCCTGATAGCACTGGGGAGCTATTAAGGGCTGTGCAGAGGAGGCTGCTCACTGGGTCCTCGGAACCACCCTGCCAGGCAGACACACTCAGGGCTTGTGGCAAAGGCAATGCATATGGCGGTCCTGGGGGAGCAAGAGAGGGGAAATTGGGGTTCAGGGTGGGAAGGCAGGGCCAATGGCTCATATTCACAAGCCCTGGCTTGGCAGGTGGGCTGGGAGGAAGGAACTTTATTTCCTAAGCACAGAGAGGCGGCACATACTCAGTGCCTGCAGGAGGCGGTGCCTCCACCCATCCAACCGCAAAGGACCTACTGTGTGCTGTCCATGGTACTGAGCGACCCTGGCACTTGATAGAAATGCAAGAAACATCGGCCATCTCAGGCCCCCACCCCAGACCTGTGGAAGCAAAACCTATGTTGTAACAGGATTCCTAGTTGGAAAGGATAGCACACACTATTTCAGTATTCTCTCCTATAAGGCCTATGATGGGGCACTGGGTAATAAAGTCAGGGGCTCAGAGGCCAGAACCTAAAAGTTGGAGGTGCCTCCAAAAGCCTTGCAGCCTTCTCCTTCTCCCCCTCCTTCTTCCTCACTCAGCACCTAAGCCCTTTTCCCCACCCCCACCCCAGAATTAGACAATCAAGGCTTGAGCTTCTGGGGATGGGGGTGGAATGGCAACAGCCCCATTTGCCTAATGCCTGTGAACCCAGCTCAGAGCTAAATCATTCCGCAGGCATCTGTTCATCTTTAAGGCTCTAATCAAATCCCAAGTGAACATTCCCACTTTGTGGATGAGATCAGCCCAATGTCAATAACACGAAGGATTCTAATGCAGTTTGTCTCAGAAGTCTGGGTTTTTGCTTTTGCATTTCTCAAGTCTAAAGTATTAAATACATTTGATTTGGAATTTGAAGCCAGACCCATAACAACGAATCCAAGGCAGCTTGTTACAGGGCCAGAGCCTCTGCTTGCTGGAAAACCATCTTGAGGAGAAGGGGATATGTCTCCCTTCATATATTCTCCACTGTGACCTCCACAGGGAACATACCCACCAGAGCAGGTACCACCTTGTGCAGGGCAGGTGCTCATGAGCTTATGAAGGAACAAGCAAAGCATCCCTGGGACACCCCACTTTCTAACATCCAGCGTACACTTGTGCCTCCACCGTGTTAGACCTCAGTGCCTGGCTAAGCCACTCCCACCAATTCCTCAGCCTATGACCCCAAGGAGGCTCCACCCTACCCTGAGGAAGCCACCCATTCACCTGTCATCCCTGCCTTGGGGAGAAACTTACCTGAGGCCTCACACTCTCAGGGCTCTGGGGAAAAATTGCATTTCCTATGCCTGGCCATGGTGATTGGCTCAGACTCAGGCACAGAACTATCAGAGCCAATGAGAAATCAGATGACTTTTGTCTGGGCTCAGGTAGTCTTTCTACCACCTGGCTCAGTGGGTGAGAAGAGTAGAATTAAACGCATAAGTCTTAATTGTCATGAAGTCTGCCCTGAACACAACTGAGACCAAAGACTGCAAGAACTGCTGAGGCCATCAAAGCTGGAGCTGTTGAAATTGATGATTTGAGTATATAATGCACTGGATTAACAATGCACCTTAGTTTATAATGCACTGGATTAACAATGCACCTTTGTTTAGACAGACAAGAGAAAGTGGATATTTACATGTTAGTTTCCATAAAACCTAGGAGAAATTTGATTCTATGAATCAAAAGGAAGGGGGATCTATGACGAAGGATGTTTTCCTGGACTATTAAAGGATTTGTTTTAATAACAAACTGTAACCTTCAGACCTTCAATGTTTATTTTAAGAAATTACATCTGTTAGAAAGTTTGTGGTAGGAATCTATTCACTGGAAGTTGCATGCTTGCTATGGTTCAACTTAAAGCTTCCTCACCAGTTTTATGATGATCAAGTCATTGACAGAGACGTGTCACTAACCTAGTTCTAAATATACTCAACCACCATCTAAGAAAGAATACAGCTCAAGCCAGTCCTCCTCACACAAGAGTCAACTAGATGGTATCTAAAGGATTAAGGATTAAAATGTAATTTAGAATGTCAGTTTTCCTGGACAGAAATCTGAGGCCACTGCCCCCATCTTTCCTGAAGCTGGAACTAACCCTGAGGAAACAGAGTCCAAAGACGGGTTACGATGGCAACACCTGAGCCACTGAACTAAGCCGTCCCGAGACTGATCCCTCTTTGTGCACCCAGCAGCTGGCATGATCCTGGTATTTAACAGGGCCCCGACATGTGTCTGGGAATCCAAGCTCGAGTCTGGGGGCACATTCCATCTGAAGAAGTCACGGTAAAGTTGGAAGTGGCTCAACGGTTCTCTCTCCCTCCCCTGCCTCCACTCTGGTATAATTTATAATTTTCTGATCCCAATAGAAACAGAAGTGGCTCTTTCCCTCCTATTTGGGAACATCTTGACTTAAACCAAAAGGATCAAAAATGTTTCAAGAAACGGGACAACACAAGGGCTCTTCCAGATCCACCCAGCACTGAAGAGTGAATAGAACATGAGATCCCCAAGGGCCCTGGACATGCCCAGCACCCAGACCCAGCTGCAGAGCTTACCGAATGGTGGGCTGGTCTCCACTCAGCTGCTTAAACCTCCGGTGAAGCTGCTCGATCTGATCTGATGAGACTGATAAGTTGAGGAAAGAAAAGAAAACAAGACAGAAGTAAACATCAATGACTGTTGAACTGGGGACTATCAGAAGGGACCTACAGACATCCCTCTGCCCCTTCCCAATAGCCGCTGTGCCCACTCACACAGCATCTCCCACCAAGGCAAAATTAAATCTGGATGAAGAAGCAGTAAAAGGATGTCCCATCATTAGTGGTTATGCAACTCTGGGGCTACCAGTGCCGACTCCCTTAGTAACAATACTACAACTGTCACTAGTCACGGCTCCAGGGACGGGCATTCTCCCAGCTTTCTTGGGAAGCTTTCTCTTCCCAAGAGAAACCTGTTTCATCCGCTTGTTTTGACTTCCTCCTCTCCCACTCCTGCAGGTGTTTTTTCCCTAGCTGAGAAAGGGCATCAACAGTCAGATTAAAAGATGAGTAGGAAAGGGGTAACAGAGGCACAGGCTGGTGATGTTGCAAGTGACTGGAAGAGACTTATAGTCAGAAATGTACAGAGAATATGGCAGAGCAAAGAGTAGAATTTTGATTACTGTTGCTGCGGGTGATGCCTTTGGATTCCCCTGGAGAGGTTCAGGACTCCTAAGTCCCTAAGTTTTATTTATTATTAATGTTATTTTCATTCTTGGGGCATGTTTCTTCCACAGAGCCACCTCTAAAATGGGGTGTCTGCACTCTGGGTTTTATCAGGGTTACACCCCCACACCAGTGCTTATGGGAAAGTCACAAACGAGACGGAATCTGTAGGTCTGTTCTTAAGTTGACTTTGTATGTAAGCTGGAATAGGGACATTTACCTGCTACCTGTAACAGCCTCCATACTTAAGAGCGAATCGTGTATCAGCCGGATGTTTGTAACTTGGGGACTTACTTATTTTATGAATCAAACAGTATTAAACACACACATTTCACATTTCATCCTCCAGAAAGCCCGATGGGATATTATCATTTCAGTTTTATAATTTGAAAGCCGCAACTCAAGAGCGCTGTCTCCAGATCACACAAGTGGTCAGAGGCAGAGCTGGGATTTGCTTCCAAGTGTGTCCAACTCCAAAGCCCATGGCCCCCGTACAGATATCACCCATCTGCCCACAGTACCTTGCTGCTGAAGGCCTAAAGGTCCGGTTCCTGGAACTACATGCAGTTCAGGCAAACCTTTCCAAAGCAGGGGCTGCACTGGGGAGCCGCTATCTCCCATCACAAGGCTCCCAGAATTTCCCCCTCGCCCATAAGCACCTTTTTCCTCTAGTTACAAAGGTAGCTAATTTCTGAGACCAGCTGGTCATGGCACTTCCTGCTTATTGACCTCCAGCTCAAGCTTGTGATCTCTTCAAGAATCTGGAGCTCAGCATCCTCAAGTATCCCAGGCCGCTAATGAGGGGGCCAACCTGGACAGGGCTGGCCACAGGCCGTGGGCATGTCTCCGAACTGTTTGGCTCATCTCTTCCTCACGACACCCAGAAGGGGGGCCGCATTGCCAAGTTAACAGACGTAGACACACTGACTGTTAGACAGGTTAGGTAAGCCCTGGGGAGGAATTTCTAATATGAAGCACTGGCCTGCCTCACTCATGGCCTAGCAATTTCACTCTTACGTATATACCCCCCGAAGTACACACTTCCCAAGCATGCATGCGAGGGTGTTCATGGTTCCACTCCAAACTGGAAACTACTCACATGCTCAGCTCATTCCGCTCAAAAATGGCGGAATATAGAAAATGCTCTAGTGTGGTAGAGTCAGGCGGGGAATAGTATACAGCAAAGAAAATGGACAGCACAGATAAAAGCTGAGCAAAAGCAGCCAGCCACAGAAGAGCATATACGTTATGATTCTATCTGCATAAAGTTCAAGAACAGATAAAACTCAGCTACGACATTAGTGGTCAAGATAGTAGCTGCCCTTAAGAAGGAACAGGCTGGGCGTGGTGAATCACACCTGTAAATGTAGCACTCTGGGAGGTCGAGGCAGGTGGATTGCCTGAGCTCACGGGTTCAAGCAAGAGTGAGACTCTGTCTCCTAAAAACAGACAGCCAGGTGTCGTGGCAGGCGCCTGTCATCCCAGCTACTCCAGAGATGGAGGCAAGAGAATTGCTTGAGCCCAGCAGTTTGAGGTTGCTGTGAGCTGTGACTGCCACAGCACTCTACCCAGGGCAACAAAGTGAGACTCTGTCTCAAAAAACAAAAAATATCTATTTCCACTTGACAAGAATTTATCCTAAAAAAAGAAAAAAATCCAACAGGTACAGGATGATGAATCCATCAATGTGTTCACCTTTGCATTCTTTAAAATTGTTTAAAATTGGACTCAGCTGAAGTGATTATCTAAAACAGATTGATCAAACACTTTATAGCATATTTAGCCAAGTAAAAAAAGAAAAAACAGGCTGCCTTTAAAAGTAACAGTTGTTGGGTGGCGCTTGTGGCTTAAAGGACTAGGGCACCAGCCCCATATACCTTCAAACCTGGCCCTGGCCAAAAACTGCCAAAAATAAATAAACAAATAAATAAATAAATAAAAGTGACAGTTGTATATTTGACATGAAAATACATGTCATGTATAATGTCTAAAAACAGCTTGCTACAGCACAACATGAACCCACGTTAGGGAAAATATATAAATATATAAAAATGTATATAGATAACAAAAAAATTCTAGGATTATTTCCCCTGAAATAATAATAGCAATTTTCTCTCATCTCAATACTGAAAGGGGAAATTTTGTTCTGCTTTTGATTCATCTATGTTTTCCCATTTTTCTCTACTATACAATGTATATATGTATATATATACAATGTTTATGTCAGTCATACAATGAAAATTTTTGCTACACAACATCGGGACAGCTGAGGGATCCTATAAATGTTGTATGAATGAGTCTTTCGTTGGATGAGTGTCACATCCCAGGAACATTCTTATTTAATCTTTTCCATGACCTTAAGAGGGATGAATTATTCCCACTTAACAGAACGATCTGAGACTCAGAAGGGATCTACCTTGCTCAAGGTCACTGACCTAGAAAGCGGCAGATCCACAATTTGATCTCAGTTTGTCAGGCAGAAAATGTGTAGCTCTGCTTTGTGGGGCACGTTGTTTTTGTTTATTTGTTTACTGCTACCTCACACCGCCTCCCTTTGTGTGATCACAGGAAATTCCCAACCCTAACCCCAAAAGTACACTGATCTGATGAGAAATGATTAGAAATTACATGGCTGGGCATAGTGGCCCATGCCTGTAGTAATCCTAGAGCTCTGAGAGGCCAAGGTGGAAGGATCCCTTGAGCTCAGGAGTTGGAGACCAGCCTGAGCAAGCGTAAGGCCCCATCTCTACTAAAAATAGAAAAATTAGCTGGGTAAGGTAGGTATGGTGGTACCTGCCTGTAGTCTCAGCTACTAAGGAGGCTGAAACAGAAGGATCTCTAGAACCCAGGAGTATGAGGTTGCTATGAGCAATGATGATGCCACTGCACTCTGCCTGATGTAACAGAATAAGTATAAAAAAAAAAAGAAAAGAAAAGAAAAAGAGAGATAGAACAGCTACACAAAGATAAGTTTGCGATTAAGGATATAAGTATGCTATTAAAGATAAGTTATCTTGAAAGCACTATGGGAGGCCAGTTACAGAGGCCACATATTGTATGATTCCATTTACATGAAACATCCAGATAGACAAATCCATAGGGATTGAAATCAGACCAGCGGTTGCTTGGGTCTGGGGCAGGTTGGGGCAGGAGAATGGGAGTCGCTGCTGCTGGGTACCCAGTTTCTCCTGGGGGATGACAAACATGTCCTAAGATTGCACTGATGGCTGCACAACCCTATGATTATGCAAAAAAAACATGGGGTACACTTTACATGGTTGAATCTCATGGTGTGTCAATTTTATCTGAACAAGGACATTTAAAAAAATAAGTAAAGCATAATCATGACAACAAGGCCAGGCACTGACCGAGCGTCTACTGTGCCCCGGGCTCTGTACTCACTCCACTCTTGATGAGCCTGGGCTCACATTACCCTCTCATCAGCCCTGTAGGTATGATGCTGTCTCCATTCTACATATGGAAACACTGAGAATTGTCCAAGGTGCCACAGCTAGGGAGAGGTGCATAACCATCCAAGAGCAGGTTTATGTAGTGAACAGTTTCCAGCTACTTGCATCCAAAGGGCACACGTGCATATATGCAAACACACACACTCTCTCTCTATCCCTTGTCCTGCCTGATGGAAAGCAGAGGATTAGGAAGACTACTTCCTACCTCTGGGTCCCTGGGCCCCCAGGTCCCCGGAGCCAAGGGCTCTACCACCATAACTGGCAGAAAGACTTCTGAAGCCTCCAGGGCGATGGTGGGGCCAGCTGATTTCACTCCATGCATCCTCAGCTGCCATCTGTGTCAGTGCCCTCAGCTGGCCCTGGGCCCCCAAGGGCTCTATCTCAGGAGCACCTGGAGCTTACCTGCATGTACCAGGCTCCCAAGGCCCAGGGAAGGCCCCTCTGTCATTCCCTCCAGGGATCCTAGGAGATGGAACCTTTTCCAGTTTCCTAGATCTTCACCTCACAGCCCTTCTCTAGGCCCCTGCCAGGTCACAGTTGCCATGGGGACAACAGGCAGAGACAGGCTTCAGCTCCTGGCAGCTCAAACTCATTATTTTTGGTTTTAGATTACAACCTGAGGGAAATGCACTCCTTCCATGTAGCTGGTGGGAGTTTAATTGGCCCAACCTTTTGGGGGATGGAGATGACTTGTCGCTTTGTATCAAAAGCTTCAACACAAAAGAACAGACCAGCCTCCTCACATATGGCAGCCAAAAGCCACATGGGGCTGCTAAGTCCCTGAGAGGAGACCAGTCCATACTGAGATGTGCCAATGTGGAAAGTACACACCAGCTTCTCTATACTTAAGTACAAAAAAAGAATGTACAGGCTC